CTGGTGGCACATCTCACCCCTCTGGTGGCACATCTCACCCTCCTGGTGGCACAGCTCATCCCTATGATGACACATCTCACCCCCCTGGTGATGCAGGGCCTAATTCTGGATGCTCTGACTGGGAGCAGCCAAACCCAAGTCAGGAACGGGCACGGAAAATCCAAAGTGAAACTTTTGCTTCCAATTTTGAAAGCTGTGAGAAGCCAGAGCCTCTTCTGAAGGACAAACCCACCCAAAGCCCCCGTCCTGCACCCAGGGCAGAGCCACCACACCATTCCAGGTGCAAAGATTTCCCAGGAAAAGCTGCTAAACTGAAGAAATTTGATTTTCCCACTCATCCAAACACTCCTCTGCTCCACTCTGGTTGGAGATGATAAAATATTCCTGCCTAGCAAATCGAATTCTGAGCAAACCAAGGGAGACTGGGATCAGATGGAGGTGATCAAATTATCTGCAATGTATCAATAAATCCCATTTGAGTCCCTGTGTTTCTCACTGRGCCTTTGCAGGATTCTCATTGTCTGTTCCCAGAATATTTTCAATATTCTCCTTACAACCYTTTGGTGGAGGCAAACAATGAATATGGTAATTTACCACCCAGGCATTGCAAAAATGGCTTTTCCAGGAACCGAGCCTAAAAAAGTGAGTGTGGGAGAGAGGGAGGGAGAGAGAGAGAGAGAGACAGGGGGCAAAGAAGAATAACAAGTGCTGAGATCTGCTGAAAGCCTTTTTCTTCCTCATGAAACAGCAGCTAAGGCTGGACACTTCTCCTCCTCTGCTTTTCTGGGTCAGCCCTCACGGCAGAGCTGCTGGAGTTCAGTGATTTGGACAACAGGGTTTGACCTTTGGGGTTCAGTTTTTGTGGCAGCCTCTCCATCCCTCCAGACACACCCTGGCCCTGCAGCAGCTGCTGGAAAACCTCAGAGCAGAAACCTTAAAAATAACCCCCCTGAGAGAGCAAATCCTGGCACATCCCCTTCCCTGCTTGCTGCTCAGGAATCTCTGCCTGGATCCCAAATGTCAGCCCTGGCTAAGCCATGGATTGGGAGAATTGTGGATTTCCAGCAGGCAAATTGAGGCCACTTCTGCTCAATCCTTCATTTTCCCTTCCTACAMCATTCTCTGTGAGCAAAGGTTTAGCCCTAGGCTTTTCCAGGAGCAGGGGCAGGGAATGATGCTCTGATGCACTACAACCTGTCTGCCAGGATTAGAAACCCCCAAAACATGGTACTGCTCCYAAACTGTGCCATTAGTGCAAAGATTTCCCAGGAAAAGGTGCTGAACTGAAATAATTTGATTTTCCCACCCATCCAAACATTCCTCTGCTCCACTTGGGTTGGAGATCACTAAATATTCCTGCCTGGCAAATCAAATTCTGAGCACAACCAAGAGAGACTGGGAACAGCTGGGGTGATCAAAATATCTGCCAGCTTTGCCAGATTGAGTTCTGGGTGCCTGGCAATGMTCAGGAGAAGCCCATTACCCTGGAAGATGATGGATCAGGAGCAGGAATTTGGGAGCTGCTCCCGAGGGAGGGAGGAGAGGCAGCCCTGGGCAGCTTTTGCTGCTCACTGGAAATACTCACAGATGCCCTGCAGAACCCATTTGGGCTTGTTCTGCCACCAGACCCCGAARAAGTAAATGGGGATCCCACTGAGGATGATGGCAAAGCCGATGCCACACTCCTTGGGTGTCATCCAGAAGGACACAGCGATGAGGAACAGGCAGGCCAGGATGAAGAAGATGGGCAGGCAGATGTTCACCTGAGCAGGGAGAGKGGAACACGTTAGGGGAAGGCTGCAAGGAATTCATCCATGGGAATGAGGGAATTATTGTCCCACCATGGCCAAGAGCCTCCCTCACATCCTTTTGGAGCTCAGAGCCATCATCCACAGCTCCTTCTCCAATCATCTGCACCAGCAGAGGCACAGCACAGGCTGGGGGTGATTCCCAGGGCACTCCCACCCACCAGAGCAGCCCAGATTTGAGAARAAAAMCCCMAAAAACWRARKGAACACCCRGCACAGATTCCTTTTGGGAMGGYRCCRAGCCAGGCCTGTGGATTTRTTTCCCYRTGGGTGCTGCTGCCTGGCAGCGCCCCGAGAGCCGTGRGATGAGGGAAAAGCAGCCTTGGGGGAGGCAGCAGGGGCTGACAGGATCTTGGCCTCCCCCCAGATGGGCCACGGGGCTGCCAAGCTGGCCAAGGACAGCGGGGACACAGCTCTGGGCATGGGGCCGGCGGCTTTAGGGGACTATTTTAGGGGAATTCCAGGGTGGGACAGAGCGTTACAGGCTGGGATTTGTCCTGGGGAGGAGCGATGCCACCACCACCACCACACCCTGTCCCTGTCACCCAGTGCGCTGTCCCCAGGCTGTGCTGTCCCCTCCTGGCAGCAGGGACACCCCCTGTAGCATTTCCCTGCAATGCCAGCCCCTTTTCCATGCAGGAGCAGCAGCTGGGAGGGACCCCTGGCACCGAGAGGGACCCCTGGCACCGGGAGGGACCCCTGGCACTGGGAGGGACCCCTGGCACCGGGAGGGACCCCTGGCAGTGCCCTCACCTTGATGGGCCGCTCCAGCTCGGGTTTCTTGTAGCGCAGCCACATCATGCCGATGATGGCCAGGGCCACGCAGAGCCAGTTGAAGAAGCTGAAGAAGTTGATGACTGAGAAGATGTTGTTGGAGAAGGCATAGAGCAGGGTCATGACACACTGAGTGCAGGGAAAAGGCCATTAGGAAAGGGAGCAGGCAGCACCACCCACATCACAACACTAAACGGGGGCATTTTAAACTACTGCCACCAAAGGGTTATTTCTGACTCATTTAAGCTGTTTTCAAATGGTGCCTGGAACCATTTCATGGGATCATGGAATGGTTTGGGTTGGAAGGACCTTAARGCTTRAAGGACCTCTGTTWCCAACCCCATCTTTCCACCATCCCAGGGTGCTCCAAGCCCCGTCCAGCCCGGCCTYGGGCACTGCCAGGGATGGGGAGGATCAGGACAGRACAATGAGGATGTCAGGGGAAGGGTCCATGTCCCGTAGCCATGCAGGGATGGCTGTGACTCCCACCATTCATTCCCAGGTGACCCCAGCCCTGCTCCATCCCCCAGCCCCGGGGCTTTACCGTGAACACCAGGGACGGCACCGGGGTCAGGAGGCGCGGGTGGATCATGGACAGGATGGAAGGCAAGTGCCCCTCCCGGGATCCCACGAAGAACAGCCTGGGAGGGGACACAGGAGGGGACAGTGTCACCAGAGCCCTGCAGGGCTCCGTGCTCAGCACAGAACCAGCCCTGAGGCAGCAGGGATGGAGCAGCAGGGCCTGCCCAGGGAGCTGGAGTGGCCAAGGAGCGCAGCAAGGCTGGATCTGTCYCTGCTCCCTGTCCTCAGACAGCCCAGGCTGAACCATCTCGGTCCTGCCCAGCCCTTCTCCCTTCCCGAGGGATTCTCGTCCYTGCAGTTTCCCAACTTTCTGCTTTTCATTAAAGCCACTTTCTCATCATCCCCAGCCCCGAGCCTGTGTCTGCTTCTGGTTTGCTGACCTCACCAGGACTCTGCCCGAGGAACAGAACATCAAGACCACTGAAAGGTCGCYTTTAATCCGGTTTTAAAGTCTGACTTTGTCTTCCTGCCTTCCCACATGGCCTGCAGGCCCTCCAGACTTTGTGTCTGSCCACAGCCACCCTCCAGAGGAGAACTCTAAAGGAAGGGGAATTGAGCACAGCTTTTAAACAAAACCCCACAGGACTGAGCAARGAACCTACCGGGAAGAAGTGAAGAGAGATCCATTGACAGAGCCAAAGCAYGACAGCCCCACAAAGACAGGGATGATCCAGGACATCACACCCAGGTGGTAGTTCCCAAAATCCTACAAAGAGACACATTTCATACTCAGATTATCCCAAAGAACTCAGAGCTGAGTATCTGGAAAAATCTCAGCAAATGGCACAGCTCAGGGCTGAAGCTGTGACGGAATTTGCTGTATTCCCACAAGTTTGCCATGTTCCCACGTGCTGCTGCTCTTCCCCAAAGAAGCTGATTGTGGAATCACTGGAATGCATCAGCAGCCAGCCTTCCCTGGGGACTGGGACACAGCACTGATCCCAACAGCTCTGAGAGCTCAGAGCTGAGCTGAAACCGTGAGGAAACTCAGGCTGCAGCTGCTGCCAAGAGCTGAGTCAGGAGCTGGGACATGGCCTGGGGACAGGAGATG